GGTGGCAACGAACTCAGCAGCACTGGTGGCCGCAACGTACTCAGAGGTGGAGGACGACGACGACGACGACGACGAAGAAGAAGAAGACTTCACAACGCTGGTAGCCGAGCTAGCAGCCGAGCTAGTAGCACGAGCTGCGCTGGTCGCAGGGGTACCGTGGCTAGCGCCAGAAGAGGACAAGGACATCAGGGCGCTGTAGGGAGTAGCGCCGGGGTAAAAGGAAGTGGGAATGGTAGGGATCGGAATAGAAAGGGTGGTGTCGAAGGCCGCAGTCAGATCGGCAGCCATCGTGGTGGCGGAGTAGCCCGAGGGAGCAGAGCTCACAGTGGTGGTAGAGGCGGAATAAGCGGCGTGGTCGTCACTGTCCTTCAGACAGAATCCAGATCCATAGGCACTCTGGCAGGAGTACCACTGCACGCTGCCCTTCTCAGTCCACATGGCGAAATCCTCAATGGTGATGTCGTAGCAAGGAGCACCGGTAGGGCAGATCATCTTGATGGGTCCACGGGTCAGACCGTATTCTTCAGTGCCCTTCCAGTTCTTGATCGTGAAGTTGCTCATCTGAATTCCATCGCCCTCCACAGTGCTCATACTGGCCCACGCACTGTCGATATCAAGGGAGTAGGCGTTACCGTGACCTAATAAGTGAAATGATGGTCAACACTCGTCTTCGTAGTCAATGAGGCAGTGTCTAAATACATACCAATGAAGTTCTCAAGGACAACGTTCTCAATGAATCCACTTCCACCGTTGCTCTTGATCAACATCATGTTGTTCGAGTTCCAGGTGTAGATGTTACGGTAGGTGATATCGGTGACGTTGGTATCGGTTCCGAAGGAGCCCATGCCGCAGCCACCACTCCAGTTGCAGTAGATGTTCTCGACCAGGATGTTGTGTGCCGGGCTCTGCAGGTCTCGTCAGGATTTCATCTTTGATAGGGTTCGGAACACAGAGTCCTACCTTGATCGTAACGCACTCATCCTTGTTCGTCACTTCGATCTATGTGATGCTGTTAGCCTCGGTCAGATTGCAAGACTTGAAGATATCCTCACATCGTGGATCCAGATGTTGTCACTCCACACGTCAATGCCATCAAGACCACCGTGGTTACCACCACGAATGGCCATGTTGTAGACTTCACCATTGGTGCAAGTGTCGATCGAGAAGTGGAAAGCAGGCGAATCGACCAGAATGATATCGTGAACCGAGAAATCCGTAGTATCCCACACGCGCAGCAGGCGAGGGCCGGAGTAGTTGTCATCCTTGTGTAGCTCGTAGCCCAGACCCTGGATGGCCCCCTTAGAGTTGCTGCTGAAGAGCTCGAAGTCGCTGGTGTGCTCGATCATGATCATGTTTCCGCCCTCCGTGCTGTCACGGTAAATGGTACCGTCCAGCTGCAAGGCCCAGGCTGAACCTCCGGCCAACTTGACCCAGGTGGACATCGCATAGTCACCCTCGGGGATATAGACCAATCCGCCCGTCTTGCAGTCGGCAAAGGCAGAGGCCAAGGGAGTGCCCAGGTCGGTGGATTTGTCCGCCTTGGCTCCGTAATCGAGAACATTACAGGTTTTGGTGGCAGCCTTGGTACTGGCCGAGGTCAATGGTCCAACAGAACCGCTCAACTGCGCAGCAGCGAGAAGGGGCGCCAGGCCCACGGCGGCAAAAAGAGAGAGTTTGTCGACAAGCATGATGCCGTGCCGATTTGGTGATGAAGAAGCGAAAATGAACGAGAGAAACAAAGAATTAACACAGAAAAGAGTGTAGTAGAGACGTCTGTCAAAGAGTGTACATGAAAAGAAAGGAAAATGAGAGTATGGGTCACCGAGTCCACGTCAGCGAGCCTTTGCCTGACTCTTTATATCAGAAAAGCATTCCATCGTAGCGGCCATTTGCCGACAGCGGTTTGCCGTTTGAGCTAACCGCCTTGCAGCCGCTTAGAATTCTTCTTTGAAGTCTTGAGCCGCGTGGAGAGTGGAAACCAAGGAACAGGAGACGTCTCGGTTGTCCTTAGTCGATAGGCTACTCCCCCATTGATCGAGTAATGCTATTCTTGACAGCACACAACGGGGCAGCTTGCCCAACTAGGCAAAACCTGGCCCAACTTAAAACCATCAGCGTCGGTCATACACTTGGTGCGATGGAGTTCGCGGAGCCACTATGGAGAGCCAGGTCCTGGATTTGGAGTATGGTGAGCAGGCTCTGGACCCTGACTCAAATAGATTAAGTCCCCCCCTGATGGGCGCGGGTTGACATCGGCTAAATCAGCGTGGCGTGAGCTTCGGATTGTCTTTAGATAAGGAGTTAAAGAGTTCAGAGCACTGGAATCTCCGACTTTTGAGCGTATTGAACGTTTTCAGTCACTATGTAAATAAGAAGGTATAACAAGACGTGGAAAGAGTAGGAATGGTAGTGAAACGATGAGAGATGAGAGAGATGAGAGTTGGAAAGGGAAGGTGCCGAAGTCGGCGGGAAGAACTCCTACTAGCAAGTTTCAATCTTTCTTCTCACCAGAATTGAAGTGGTCGATGAATGGATGGCCCGCTCACCTGAAACACCAGGGCCACTTAGCCCTACCCCAACAACAATCTCCACGCCTATTCCCCTGGAGGCCATTGGAGGCTGGGCATTGCTCAGGGGCCGAACTGCTTGTCATAACTTACTCTCCTAATCACTCATCACTGATCATTTAATGACATAGAGGATCGCGGAGGACGGATATTCCGTGTCTGTCCCGTAGTCCATCATTCCGCTTCCGGCCAGCCGAAGTGGTCAAACCTCCTTAGGGCTGTCGAGCTCCATCGTTCAGACGTCCGTCTCAATTCCCTGAAACAGATCGCCGATGTGGCTAGGATACGCAGTGAATTGTGGGATAGACTCGGCGAAAATCGGTGGGAATCACAGTAACTCGTAAAAATTAGATTAAATCTATATAGTCTGGGGTTTCTCCCAATATATGCAAAACCGACACCCCCGGCGGGATCGCATAGATACACCAGAATGAGATAGATACACTGTAGCTTGTTCGTTGCTATACATGGTCGCTTACCCATCGGGCCATCACACCGACGTTATCGAAAAGAGAAAGGGTATCTGGAACAGGTCGAATATCGGCGCGGCGTCCACCAAGCATGGTCCCCTGGAACGAGCAAGAAATCCCTTAGTCTCGTTCAAATTCCTTTTCCCATACTTGCAGAACCAGCACCACTCACCATTTACAGGTTGTCACCAACAGTGCCGACAACAGTGCCGACCGAGGTGCCAACACCAGGAAGTCCGAGGCTGCTGACGAGGCCAGTAACTTCAGGAGACAGCTGAATGAGGAGATAGGAGCCATCCTGACCAACAACGGTGAGGAGCTGCTCGACGGGGGTGCTGAGGTCCTTGAGAAGGTCACCGATGCTGCCAGCGGTCTTGACAATGCTGCCAACCGAGGTGCCAACACTGGGGAGACCGAGATTGGCGACGAGGGAAGCGACAGAGGGGCTAAGCTGGACGAGGAGGCGCTTGGCGTTAGGGCCGGTGACCTCAAGGACGTTCTTGACCTGGGGGGCAAGATCCTGAACAATCTCACCGTTGGAGCGCTTCAGGTTCTGACCCAGAGTACCGACAACAGTTCCGACTGGGGTACCGACACCAGGCAGGCCGAGACCGGAGACAAGAGCGGTGACGGAGGGGTCGAGCTGAATGAGAAGAACACCGCCATCCTGACCGACAACGGTGAGCAGACCCTCGAGGGGCTGAGCGAGGTCGGTCAGCAGGTCACCGAGGCTAGAAGCAGATTGAACAACGCTGCCAACCGCGACTCCGACGCCGGGCAGGCCGAGGCTGGAGAGAAGACCAGTGACATCAGGGCTCAACTCGATGAGGAGCTGCTTGGTATCAGGTCCAGTGACGGTGAGGATCTGCTTGACATTGCCGCCCAAGTCCTGAACGACATGGCCGCTAGCAGAGCCGGCAGCACCAGAGGGAGCAACGGCGCCGCTGGAGACAGAAGAGCCGGAAGAGGAGATAGACTTGGTGACCTGAGTGAGCTCAGACAAGCTGCCGGCAGGGGCGGCGATGGTGGAAGTGGCCAGAGCGGCGAGAACAGTGAGGAAAGCAGCCTTCATCGTGATGATTTGCGTGATAGGAAAATAAGAGAGGGAAGTATGTTGATTAAGGTATAGTAAGTATTAACAAGGAATGACAGGAAGTTGGACTTCGAAAAGGAGTGAATGATTCGCTGCTGGATGAGAAAAAGAATAGAGAAGGATGGGTGGTGAAGACCTTCTTTATATACCAAAGCTGGAGCAGAAAGATGATCCCAGGTCGCTGGCTCACATTCTGTGTTGACGAGGGCTTAGGAGTGTAGGATGATGATGGATCGACAGCAATTGCCTAACCTGTAGCTTCTGCTCAGGAGAGCGAGAGAATGAAGCTGACGAGCTGCCTCGTTGTGGAGACGGATTGGCATAGGATAATGATGATCATAGTCTGTTTATCCTCTCAGGGTTTACACCGTTTGAACTTTACCTGTGATCATCAGGTACGGTCAAGTAAAGACATATCAAGATCCGCGTTGGCTGCATCTTGCTTGCATGGTCATGATTTCAAGACTTCCAACCACAGTGTTGGAGGTTAGCGATGAAACATAATTTGGGCTTTAGAAAAGCGCACGACATACGTGAGCATCAAGCAAGGTACGAAATAAAGTCGATTGCTCATTCATCACAGTTCACGAGGTCCGCTGATCTTCACTCAAATCGCATGCAGCCTTCGGAACAAATCCCGCCACTGCCATTGTGATCTGCGCTTTGTTTACTGTCCCCCCACGCGGTGGCTGAGAGCCACACTTTCGGATCAAAGGAGCTTTTCCGATGCGATGCTGACCTACTACTGGCTTGAATGATACGCATACCTTTCTTGATTCGAGCTAGAAACTTAAAGCGCGGTGATGCCGGATAGTAAGCCGAAACTGCCTAGGACATGTGAGCAACTGACCAGAGTACAGAATCCATTCAAACTCGACAAATGTTTCTGGATCGAGCGACTACAACCAAAAGGTCATTCGTAATCATCCTGGCATGTATGCACCTATCTGCATCTAGCAAGTCAAGATTTGGTATACCGTTTTCCTCGATGGAAGCGACGATGCAGTATTCTATGCGCCGAGAATGAATGAACCCGGGGAGCTAGGGGCCTTCTTTCAGAGATCCAATTAAGAGAGACGCTTACCTGCGATTCATGTTTCTCAACCAGCTGAAGGTCTCTAGCAACTGCTGAGCCGTCCCTAAGAACCCTTTCTCCACGAAGGTGGAGATCTCGAGGGTAGGAAACCACGGATCGTGCTCGTATAGTCTACAAATTGCTCGACCTTGCCTGTCAGCGTTTCAGTAACCAATCCAAAGACAAGATCGGCTCGGCAGTAGTCCTTGCGAACATCTCCGCGGTCTCCACACCCCGACAATAGGGAAATATAGCCCCCCAGGGCAGCAAATGCAGCTCGACTCTCGAGGACGATTGACTTTGCTAGTGGCATGCCGCTACTGTGATTAAGGTTTCGCCTTCCGCAGCATGCAGTACCAAGTACATCAATACAGTACAGGGCCTGGGAAGTGGCTGGAGTTGCAGCTGCTGCCGATAAGGGTAAAAACGGGGATGTCGTGCTCGGAATTACACCAATGTGCTCATACTCGCTAACGCTCTTGAGTAACTGCCGATTGTGATTCGCTATGCGGTTGTGAGTAACAGTTGCGTGTTTTCGATCTGTGGCTGTCTGACAATAAGTCAAAGATGTAGTCAACCGGTCCAGCAGGATGGCTGTACTGTAGACGGACTGACATAGAGTTGGTGAAGGTTGAGCACGGTGGAAGGCAAAAGTGCTCTTCATGTTACAAGCGCAAGAGTAGCACCACGTGGAGGGACTGCAGGTTCTGAGAATTGAACACATCCCAGGGGAAGGGTAAACAATAGAATAGTTTTTCCAGGGAGCCAAAAGGCGTCATTGACCAGGCATTGGATTGTGATCTGCTCTGGAGTGGACTGGGGTGGACCGAAGTGGACTGAAGTGGACTGGAGTGGAGGTGATCGCGCGTGAGGTTGCTTGTTTCGAAGGCGCTAAACCAGGTACAGTACAGTACATGCCTTGGAGCCTGAGCTGGGAAGGACCCGTAGGTCCCCGGGTCGGCTGGGCTGTAAGCTCTATGGCGGGGAAGACCACTTCCAAGTTCGCGCCTGCTCCCCCGTCAACCTACACCTCCCGCTTGATGAATTTGGTCACAATCGTCAGATTCTATAATACTCATGAGTCCACGAGACATACTTGATCCAACATCCTCCTGATGTGTACTTGGTTCGTACGCCGCAATTTAGTTACGATTCTGATTGTGCTTGTGCAGGAGCCCTGTTAAGGGGTGGTTTCCGAAGTCCCGAATAGTTGCCGATAAACGCGGCGATCTTCTAGAACTGGAACTGCGGTGATCGACCATTCTTCCTTCTCCTGGCACTTCCGGGCGCTTCTCTGGGGCAGATCGTATTGAGATGATGATCTACACAATTACAATTGTCCGCACTGGGTCATCATTTCTGCTCCATAACACTAAGAAAAAAAAATATCTGCAAGTCCTGCTTTACCCTTTTCTAGGCAAGTCCTTCGTCTACGTCTACTGACGGAGTTGAGAACTACTGGTGTTGACCGCAGCCTCATCATGGTCCGAACTGTACCACTGACAGAGCTCTCAGGGTGGCCCCAATTCGATCAGAAAAGTGTCTTACTTCCTATGTTCATGGAAAAGAGTTATGATGTATTTACGAAGCTGGACTTGGGGGCAATTCGCCAGTGAACCAGCCACTTGCCGTCTGCCCAAGTTCAAAGTCCAGCGTTCCACCTTCAGCGAATATGTCCTCCCACGCCAACCAGTTCTTCTTCCAGTCTTTCCCATTCAACTTGAGCGACTGCACATAAATATCTCCTCCGCCATTGCCGTCACCGCCAGTGGCAGTGACACTCAATGTCTTTCCCTCTCCAAGGTCGATGGTAAGGGACTCAAACCAAGGGGAATGGATCAAGAAAGTCGACTGCCCAGTAATAGGGTACAGCCCAATCATGTTCCATAGTATCCAAGTCTGCATAGCACCCGCGTCACTATTTCCAGGAAGACCTGACGCACTCGTACCATAGTACGATTTAGCGACACTGCGCGACCGTGCAACGGACAGATCTTGTTGGCCGATATAATGATATAGGTAGGGGACATTGAACATGCTAAGCACGTGAATCAGTTTGCGCATCCGTGATTTTGATCTGAGGACAAGGACTTACGGTTCGTTCGTTGGATCAAAAATGATACCACTGGAACCACTGGCCCCGTCGGTAAACATGGTGTCAAGCCGTTTCTGTACGGTTTCATTCCCTCCCATCCACTCAATCATCTTCTCCATATCATGGATGGCATTCAAAGAGTATGCCCAGCTGCTGGCCTCATAATAAGGATCGCCCCAGTAGCCACTGTCGCCCAAGGGATCGGTCTCCATGAAACCTGTCTCATTGCGAGGAACCACGAAACCAGAGAACCCAAGCGAGGTCTGCTCGGGATTCCAGTGGTTGCGCCAGTTGCGCGACCGGTTCAGATACTTCGTCGCATCTTCCTCCTTCCCCAACCCCGAGGCAACCTGGTATAGACCAAAGTCATTACAGGAATATTCCACTGCCCGTGTGACCGATCGGGAGTATCTGGGTGTGATGAACCCTAAGCGGAGCCAGTCCGGTAACGCACCTCGACCCTCCTTAGTCGAGGAGTCAGGAGCCTGGGGATCGACCGGGGAATTGGCAGGCGTCACTTCCGCATCTTTGACCATCGCCTTGTATCCATCTTCCCAATTCACCGCGCCACGTACCCCTTTGACATAAGCATCTGCAAGGATGTTATCGGCATTGGAGCCTCCTTGAGTGCGCCCGTTATAATTGGAAGAGCGAGCGTCCGGCATGTAGCCTTCGAAGCGCCAGATATCGATAAGTGACCGTATTTGCTCCTCGTAGGCAGTTGGCTGCAAAATTTGCATAAGGGCAGTTGAGCAGCGGAAGAGATCCTTGAATCATGTGAGCGATGCACTTCTGTCTCGGACTACTCAAGGAGATACTCACCCAAAATGTGAATATGTCCTGATAGTAGGGTTCCGAGGACGACCATCCAGGGTTCTCGCCCGTTTGGTTAGTTGGGATCAAGTGCATGAAATAAAGCGATGTATATAGTAGCTTGAGAGTTGTTTCATTGGTGTTGCTGGTTGTCACCTTGGACAAGACCTTGGACTCCCATTCCTCTTGAGCTTCAGCGACGACAGAAACGAAATCTTTGTCTTCCGGTATTTCATCATTGACGTTCCTGCAGGCCTGTTCGGTGCTGATCCAAGATATTCCTACTCGTGATGTCACAGAGGTATCCTGGAATGTGTACACCGCCCCAACGCGAGTCGAGCCTGAGCTAGACGACGCAAAGCCACTGTTCTGTCGAAAACTGCCATCTGCATCCGTCCCCACATAGGTTCGATTACTGACAGGAGCAGCATCGAAGTAACCACCTGGTCTTCTATGAGCGCTGTTCCAAGGACTTCCGACGCAAGGAGAAAGGAGGGGACATACAGAAATAGATCGACCAGTCAGGTGAACGGTTCCAGCCATTGTCATAAACACCATGACCTTCATAATGCCCGTCCGGGAAGACAGTGATGTTGCCGCCTTTATAGCCCTGACTCAGTCCCATCCCTCTATAGGACGGCAAGACATGCGAAACATCAATGAGGACGTTTGCTATAGAGCCCAGAGGGAAGGTATAACGGTAGATTCCCGCGTGGGCGGACGCGCTCAATTGCACCACCGTCCCCTCGGAGGTCTGAGCTTGGTAATAACCCACCGCCGCTTTGTCCGTGCCTGTACGGCCCACAGTGATGTTGGAGAGCGGGTTGGTGATGTGCCCTGTAAGCGGCAGCTGCGAGACTGTGCCGTACTTGGGTGCACCGCCTGTGCCCTGTTCGTGCATCATACTGAACCCGGAGAACTCGCCATTGGGCAGATAGCCGGAGTAGGCGTCTGTCCCAGAGACATAGAGGTCAGGGCCCAGTTTCACCATACCAAAAGGACGCGCAGCGCCAGGGAAGTCGTTGCCGCCATTTTGCGTGCCCAAACTGGAATATACCACCATTAGCTGTCTTCCCCTTCCTTCCGTTTGACTCTCGACGCGGGGTCAGTACGAGAGCTATAACGACTTACAATAAATCTACATGAGAAGTCAGATTCGCAGACCGCACAACTGGTCCAAGCACGGACCAAATCAGAAGAGAGTGCCAGCAACCCATTGCTGAGGTGACTGAGCTGCGGCAGACAGGCAACCAATATCGTCTTGGGTCTTCAATTTCTTTGCCCACTTGGGGGAGAAAGACTCGAGAATTTATCCTACAAAAGAGTGGACGCAGCTAGTAATAGTACTAGCTAGCTAACGGATTTTCTGGTCGTCCATCAGACCAGCTCTCTCTTCGTCAAGATACAGAGACTGACATCAGAGACAGTCGCGAGAGCGGGGAATCGAACGCAAAGATTCAGGATAGACAGTAACGATTGGAGTTCCTTGAAGGAAAGTGTCGATCATGGTCAAGTACTTAATGATGTGATTAATAGGGGGAGGGGGGTTTAATCCACTGAATGCATTGGAATTCAGCACATGCTGCGGTCACCAGCATACGCCTCTCGTCTGTCCCTTGAAAGAGTGTCCCATTCACTGGTCAGGAGCTGGACATCCCAGTGTCCGTGTGGGGAAGGGAGGGGGTACAGTAGATTGGGACTAAACCAAGGGACTGATGCACTATAGATATAATCATGCATCCATGGTCTGTCGGGTGCTTGCAAAGGTGGACGGTAGGCCCTGAAATGTGAGCTCATCACACGGGTAGGCTTCTAGACTGCAAAAGTACATCATTGAAAGCAAGTGTAATGGCAATCGTGGCCAATAGCAAACTAGACCGAAAAGAAAAAGAACCTCAGGAACACATTCCTGAGCACTGCGTATTTGTTGTAAACTGTGCTGGTATGGCCGTCCTGCCTGTCAAGGGATGGAAAGGGGGGGCAACAAAACATGAATGAATTCAATCATTGAGAGC